GTGCCCATCTATCCTTCAACACGAGCACACACACACACACACACACACACACACACACACACACACACACACACACACACACACACATCCAAATCCTAACAGTGCTTAGATCCACATTGCTGTTGCTGAAGCGGCTGTAATCAGACTCAGCACGTATCAGCACATTTACCCTCCTGTCTGCACTTATCCTCCGCCTTTGATCTGCAGCAGCATCACCTTATCCTCACTGCTGGCTCACCTTTCAGAGGATTTCATCTGCCCATTAAACACTACGAGCTCTGCAATCATTTGCTATGGACACAAATAAAGACTAACTCGAAATACATGGGGTCATTTCATTTATAAATAATCCAAAACTCTAGCTTTTCCATCAATAGGCGGTAAAATCGACATGAAAGTGACATTCGGACCAAATATGTACATCGTAATAGGAAAAGGCACTGTAGAGTGCTTTTCCAGCACATATACAGGTCTGCATTCACACGCATTCATACAGAGGAAAATGCTGCCATAAGTTGCACCTGCTCAGAGACTAACATTCACACCCACTCACACACCATAAGCAATTTGGAGCAACTTGGGGTTATGTATTTTGCACAAGGACATCTTGACATGTTGACCTAAGGGGCTGGGGATCAAACCACCGACCTCCCAATAAGAGGACTACCTGACTCCTTAGCCAACGTGCAATTTTTTAAAACGAAAAATACAGACTCTTGTACATTCCTATGCAAAACCTTGTCGTGTAAAGTATTGCTGCAGCTTTTCAGTATGACTCATATCACACACACACAAACACAGACTCACACACGCACACAGAGTGACTCTACGGTCCTTTAGGGGAGTCTTATCTGAGGTGGAGAAGCTTTCTGAGGGTCTGACTGTAGCCAGAGGCCGGAGCTGTCCACAGTCATCTCAGTATTCGCCCCCCCCCCCCCCCCCCAACACACACACACCTCCACCCACACATTCACCCCAAGCTTCTGAATTCAGGGCTGCAGCTGACAACCTCAGAACCTTCTTCTTATGTTTACATTTAATTATATATTTTATTGCACATTAGAATTTAACTTCATATGTTGATACAAATATCTCTATTTTATCTTATATTGCATATTCTTACTTTAGCTACGTATTTATACACATATATCTTTTTTTTATTTCAAAACCCAACTCTCCCCCGGGATAAAATAAAGTGATTGTTATTTGATGATGACTACAGTCTGAAGACAGGAGAGGTGTTGGCAGACTCCTATAGGTCTCACTGAAATCACAATTGTTACATTTATGGGAATTAGAGAGCATTGAATGATTTGAAGTCTAATTGAAAAACCTTAACACAGAAATACAGCTGGAAATGTTTTTTTTGCTGAACCTACCTTGCAGTTGTTAAACCAAATGTCATCCCACCCTGGAGACAATAAGGGTGTTGGCGTGGATTTTCAGGCACCAACAATTGAGAGTTTTTGATTCTTGACTTAAATTTAATTTACCAAAAACATTTAATCAGAGTTAAAGTTGCAATAGATAGTACGCATTTGTTGTTTACGAGTTAATCTAAAGCATGAGTAATATGCATGTTTGCTAACTTTCTAAAACCTCAGATCTTTAGTACAGAGTTAGAGTCAAGTGCAGTTAGCCTAGCTAAGCTCAAAGACTGGAAGCATCAGACATTACATTACATGTCATTTGTTAGACGCTTTTATCCAAAGCAACTTACATACATTCAGTACTGTGGACAACCCCCACAGGAGCAATTTGGAGTGAAGTGTCTCAGGGACACAACGACATGCTGACTGCAGTGGGACTTGAACTTTATCCCCTGATTTGAAGTCCAGCACACTACCCACTGAGCCACAGCCACAAACCTAAATGTAAAAACTTGATGACCTTTTCGTTCATTTCAACTTAACCATCCTTTTTACCTTTTATATGTGGTTTTAATGCGTATTATGTGATAAAACGGGACTGAATGGTAAGCTAGCTAGCAGTATTAGCAAATCATTACAAACTGCTCATCTAACCAAATACAATTACAGACACCAGAACTGATACGTTTACTAAATAGTGAAAAAATAACACATGTATAAATGTTTACCTGACCTAGCTAGCTGGTGCAGCATTCCACACTGTACTCTTTGGCTGTTATAAATGCGACATCCAGGTACTTAAAGTGCACTGTGTTTGGCCATATTAGTAAAATAGTACATGATTTGAGATACAGCAACGGACTGCAGATTGTATTTGAGCCAAGCTCAGACTGAGTACACAGGCTGCCCATGTTCCATGAGGGTTCAAAGTATCTCAACTAAACTATTAATTCACTTTGTCTTAATATTTCCAGTCTGAGGAGTTGGAGGATATGAAGATGAGGTCACACAAATCAGAATTGTATCACTTTGGCGGTGGCTAATTATAATTAATAAAGTTGGGTTCAATTCGTTTTTCCATATTAAATTACCTGGCTTTTGTTCTTGAAATATTGTATATTTGACACAACCAGCTTCTCAGTGGTATTGTACCACTCAGATCTTAAATATAAAAAGAGCAGCAGCTCTGGCATGTTCAAAGTGTTATTACGTGATAATTGTCTTCCCTTACTAATGTATATAAATTAATCTGATCTGAGAAAACAGAGAATAATATGAAATATTTTACAGCATGAGAGTATATTATCCTTTTAGTTTTAGACTGCAGGACAGTGAATGTAACAGCTTGATGCCTCGAATGAACATATGATAACATCCATAACATAAACATGATCAAAGTAAAGACAATGTTTCTTCTTGTTAACAAATGAAGACCCTTACAACTACTGTGTGTGTCACAGCCTGACATATCCCCTTCCTCTGTACCATAGAGCTCCATTGTTGTGAAAACTCATCAGAGACACAAAGCGTAACCCTGCAGTGTATCATGGGAAGTGCTGATGCCACAGACTGGAGGCTTTGATGAAATGATAAAAGCAAGTGGGAGCTGAAATTGGTTTCTCTCATATCATCTTCTTCATGCTATTTAGGCAGGAACAATACGTTGATACAGTTACTTAGCAACAGTAATAATATTTCCCCCACAGGAAGTTTAGGTATCATGAAGGATATTTGATTTATTTGAATGTGTTTCCTGGGGGTGATTAAAGAGAAGTGATATTAAGCTTGAACAAAGTAATAGAGTTGTGTTTTGATTGACAGGTGTCTCTGCCATTCACAGTCTGCTGTTTGCTTGTCACCTATCGTCCACTCTATCTCTTCTAAATTCAGTTTTTCATGCCTACAATTACTGATAATAATGATGATGATAATTATAGTGAGGATGGCAATATGATTGATTGTGATGATGAGTGGTAAAGCCAATTTTCAGCAACGAGAATCCCATGAACGCTACTCCAAATACTAATATATTATTAATACAGTAATATTACTGTAATATGTATAATTATCACATTCATTCAGGACTACATGTCATAGTAGCTTTTTTCATATTACTCTTGACATGTAAATGCATTACATTAGATAATATTCTGAATAAATATATGCTATCCTCTTTCCTATCACATCGCATATGGTGTGTACTGTACTATACTGTATCTGATAAATGTCTTATGGCAGATATTTGTATGTATTCGGCTAAAATGTTTAGTCTATTCGCTTTGCGCCCATTGTGAATTCCTTATGAGGATGAACACTAATGAGAGTTTTGCTGCAGGGGCCTCCTGATTGATATTTTCAGCTCATCCAATCTGCTTCAAGTTAAATGAAATGAAGATATGGAGCTCACTGCCAACACAGTGACTCACTAGGCAACAGGCCTTTAAGGTGATATCAAACACTTCAGTATACTGTGTGATCCAAAAGCAAACGGTACGGGAATTGATTGAAATGACTCCTTAGTAAATGTGACTCGTGTTATATTGTAATACAAATTCAAATCTAACCTTCACCATTTTCAAGCTGCCATGTGCAGATATTGCTGAAAGCAAGAGAGAAATTAAGAGAAACCATCATCATTCAGACAGAATGTTCCAATATGAATGTTGTTGCTGAGCTGAGTACAGTATTTTCAAAAAGACTTATTAATAAACTTATTTAGTGCCACAAAAGTAATAAAGATTTAAGAAAAATATCAAATTATTCACAAACTTGTGCTGCTCAGGCGTTGAGTTGAATAAGAATGGACACAATACAAAAATACTGATGATTAAAAATTCAAATAGTTTTTCTTTTGCATTATTATTATTATTATTATTGTTTTTATCTTTCTCTCAATCGTTTTGATGCGTCTTGGAGCACCAGGAAAAGCGCTATATTAATAAAAATATAATATTGTTCTTTTTTTTTGTAACCATTCACAGAAATAAATTGTACAAGTTGTTCTCAAGAGTTTAACTTTAAAGTGTATATATTTATATATATTATAATTGTATTACTCTGTTTCTCGTCCAAATTGGGAGTTGGTCATTGGTCTTGTTTCTCTGTGTCACCCAGCAACTGTCCTTACCTGTCCTGTAATCACTTTATTACCCAATAAAAAATTGAAAATATATGATTTTATTTTTACAGAAAATGTAGACCTATATAAAACACAAACGTGCTTAGTAAATGTGAACTGTGAACTGTGACATGTTCCCCCCCACAACTTAGTCAGGGTGCTTTGACCTTGGGCAGGGGGCAGAATGTAAAGGATGCTGCATGGTCACCTGCACGCGCCTCTACCAGCAGCGCGTGCACAGCTGACGTGAATGTGAAGCTGCTCGCACACATCTGGGCGCGTATCAAACAATAAGACACATCTCCCATCACTCAGTCTGTGTACAGGAAGTCCATATGATTCCGCGCCGCAGCGTGCATGTGAGCGCGGCACTGCAGAGCCTCCCCCCCTCCCTCTCACATCCTCCCCCTCCTCACACACCATGGACACGTTTCTCACACGCTCCCGCCGCTACAATTAACCCTGAGTGCGGTCGCGAGCTGCGGACAGAAAGCTTCCCGCCTCCCTCGCTGACTCCGGAACCCCCGTCCCCCCCGGCTGGAGGAGACACACGGCTTTTGGTGAGAGCCGTGCGGGACAAAGCCATGAAGCCCTGGCTGCTGCTGGCTCTGCTCGGACTGAGGTGAGTGTGTGTGTGTGTGTGTGTGTGTGTGTGTGTGTGTGTGTGTGTGTGTGTGTGTGTGTGTGTGTGTGTGTGTGTGTGTGTGTGTGTGGTGCAGATGTGTTACCTGTGAAGCCGGTGCAGTGGCGGCCTGATGGAACACATTCAACCTCTGCTTTGTCTGTTCAAAAGAACCAACCATGTTCATATCCTCTGTGCGTAAATCCAGTGGATGTTCCGGTGACAGGTTGGTGTGTGAGCTGTGATTCACAGGGTCTGTCAGTGTGTCAGGTGGGCTGTATGGACAGAAGACCTCTGGCAGTTGGTCACAGAGGTGAAAGGACATGTTAAAATGTGCTCATGTTAAATCGAAGCTGCTAATCTTTTCTTACAGATTTTCTTTATTCAACAAATCACTCTGCATAGGATATTCTCTCTGAGGACATTCTACAAAGTCAGATTTGGAAGGTTTATAAATGTCAAGACAACAAATGAATGAAATTACATTACCAATTTCAGATGTTGATGCAATTATTTGTGAACATTTTTGTTTTGGTCTATCACCAATGTTCCTGCCGTTCATAATCCATCTCACAGATGATCGATTTACAGTTTGCATCTAGTGATCTGTTAAATTGAAATCTCTGATCCACTGCAGCTCCTATTTCTTTTGTTATGAGAATAAAATACAATTTAAAATAGCAGAGCCAGAGATATGCTTTAGTCCCTCCTGGATACTGCACCTCGCATTATCCACCTTCATATCGCTCCCTCCCTCTTCCCAGTAATTGGCTCTGATTTTTCTCATTCTATGATCATAGTTTGTAACGTATGTTTAAATGTTTAGTCTAAGCTAAGATTAATTCTGACAGCATCAGATAAGATATTACAATGGTTTTCACAGGCTGAACCTCTAGATTGACATTTTATTGTGAGTAAAAAAATAGTTTTCTTAATGTTCATTCATCGAGATGTTTGAGCCTCACTGTGCTTAGTGTTGTGTGAGGTGGTTTCTCAGTTCATCACAGTTTGGGAGCCAGTGATAATCAAATGTGTGAAATAGAAGACATCTTGTTCCTAGAACATGAACTCATTCCCCCTGTTCTCTTTGAATTGTGTATGGACTATGTTGCCTCAGCATCAGCAATCAGAGCAGACACACAGCACTAGTTAACCAACCAGAACACCTTTGGTAGAACATACCCTGTACTAGGGATGCTCCGATCGCCAATTTTGGGGCCGATCGCCGGAATCAGTATCGGCCGATACCGATCGCCGATCCGATCGAGTGGGCAGGGCCAATGGGGATCTTCCATTTAAAGTGATGTTTAAAACTAATGGGCCTCATTCACTGGCGCTTCCACAAACAACAACCAACATAATTATTACATTCAAATGAAGTAAATTATTCAAGTTTACATTAACTTTGGATAATAACACGGGAGAAATGAGAGGAAGCGCTCTCTTTTCCTCTCTCTCCCTCTCTCTCTCTCCTGACAGCCTGTCAGTATCTCCTGCAGCTCACTGATCCAGTAATGAGTCAGACAGTGAAGAATAAACATATTTATAACTAGTTTAGCTTGTTCCAGAGGTAGATCAAATAGCTAAGTGTGTTAGGTCCAGTGTTGGGCAAGTTACTTTTAAAAAGTAACTAGTAATAGTTATAGTTACTGATCTCAAAAAAGTAACTAGTTACTTTATTAGTTACTAAATTATAAAAGTAACTAGTAACAAGTTACTTTACTTTACTTTAAAAATAATAACAATAAAAATACAAGTTTTTGTGTTGTTCTGTGGCACAGTAAGAGAAAAGACAACTCCCCATCATTGTAGCAATTATCATTATGAAATGTAGTGGAACAATAAAACACAAAAGACATGTTTAGACATCTTTATTGTAGCCTCCTCAACAACATACCTGGCAATCAATCTGTTTAGTTGACTCTGGGTGACATGTGGCGATTTAAAAAAATCGTTTTTTGGCTGTTTAGATGGTGTTGCTCCATCTGGGTCACTGCCGGTGGTTGAGACGGTGGGGTCTTTGGAGACTAGTTTTATAGCCCCATGTACATTAGTTAGGTGCTTCAGGAGATTGGCATTGCTGTAATTCGATGTGGACAATGCTTTCTGTCCTGCACACAGTTTACATTTGACCGTAATATTTTTTGCGTCCTTTATCCCCACAAATTGAAAATAGTGGTTATATCTCCAAGTTGTAAATGCGCTGCTGCTCTCGCTGATACTTGCATCTGCCATTGTGTGTGTGTGTGTTAGCAAGTGTTTGTGTGCCTGTGTATTTTCCCCATGAGGCAAGACCCGCCCAACTCTGTCTCTGATTGGCTTACCCTGAAATGTTACCCCGCGTTAACCAATCATCACTCCTCTCTGGTCACTTTCACTTTTCCATGGTACTGTGAGAGGACATCACTGTATTCGCCTGTAAGTTACATCCGCAGGGAGATTCGGTTCAGTTGGATCACATAATGTAACGCAGTAACGCACCCATTTAAATCACAGTAACTATAACGGCGTTACTGAATGGGAATAGGTAACTAGTAACGTTATTAGTTACCGCAGAAGGTAGTTGCGTTACAGTAACGCGTTAGTTTGTAACGCGTTAGTCCCAACACTGGTTAGGTCTAACTGTGTGTTTTGCTCCGCTCACCGGTCCGTCACAGCGGGAGGAGCTGCAGGATTTCTGCTTCACACACATTGCATACCGCTATCGGACACCTTAAAATACTGCCAGACTGGTGAAGCCATTTTGGCGAGCTTGTTTTGCCGCGCACAGAGAAAAGTGTCATGTATTTTACGTCATGCGATCGGCTCTCGCGATCGGCATTTTTAGAGAGCACCGATCGATCGGCAGAGAGTGAATATCGGCCGATATCGATCGGCGGCCGATCGATCGGAGCATCCCTACCCTGTACCAGGTTTCCTGTGTCAGAAGTCACCATCAAGAGGTGACAGGTAACACCAGAGGCAGGGAAGAGAAGACCACTACCCAAATCAGACACTGTGAACACTTATTATGTGTGTGAATTTCTACCGTGTAGTGTGCTCTCGAATCGCACACGGCTGCTGGGCCCTCACCGGAAGTATCGATTGGCGCAATTAGCTAGCGAGCATGCTAGCAAAACTAATTCAAATGCAAATCAATACAGAATGCTCAATGTATCCAATAAAATTAACAGCGATTATTTTCATCAGTATAGTGTTATGTCACTGGAATAGTAAAAAACACCCACATGTGTCAATGTTATTTGTATAGTGCTGTGTTCACCAGAGTAACCCCAAACACAGCTTAAGACTTCAGTTACGTTGGCAAGATGGCGGTCTTTGGGTGTGAGGAGTGTCCAGCGTTCCACACTCCACTTTTTGACTGTCATGAGTGTACCATCCGAGTACTCAAAGTGCACTTTGCCATACTTCGCATAGGCATGCACTTGTGTACTCAATACAGCAAATGTAAGTACAGAAGTATGCAATTGAGACACAGTACAGCACTCCACCGTGGCAGGGAAACCCCCCTCAGGGAAACACCTCACCTTAACCGTGCTCTAATATGCCCTTTCTTTGCACAAGTGCCACACTTAATATTTCAGATTTTCAAACTAAACAGAATATATGATAAAAGACAACCTGAGTGAACCCAACAGATGTTGTAATTGGACCACACCAGCTGTTATGCCATATGGGACCAGGGGTGTAAAGCGGGGGGGCCTCTGGTGCCCCTCATCCTTCTCCTAACGTGTTCTGCCTTTTGATCTCAACTAAATGTAAAGATTTGTGACCTGACAGTTGCAGTGCTAATGCATTGAAAAACCTGACAGAGAGTCAGACAGACCATAGACAGAAATAAAAACACCTGGCAAAGTATTTGAAACTTTCCGGTACTTTAGGTCCCATTGTCGTGCCAACAGGAACAAATCTTTCTGGCAATCACCCATGTGAAAAACGAGTCCCTGAACGCGATACCCTTTAGCAGAAACACCTGCAACCAGAGGCTTCAGTAAGGCGGGCATTCCCAGCACGAGAGGATGGCTCTCAGTGGTTGGCTAGAGTCCAACAGCCTCACTAATGACTTTGTATCCTTTTCCAGACCAATATATTGCAATCACTTTCATTCTGAGTGTGTTTCATGAATTTAATCAAGGTTTTAGATGTTATTCCCTAACAAATATCAATCCCAAAGCAGGTAAACTACGGCAAAAACAGGAAGTGTTTAGGATAGGTCTCTAAATAGGGAGAGTTAACTGCACACTGTGCTGTTCCTTGAGCTCTTTCGGCCATCTTCACATTGCTAAAGTTCTCTTAAAGTGATGTTTGGATCCAACAGGGCTGGCAGTAATCAAGCTTTATTGTGTCTAATTAAAGCTAGTTAGCAAGGTAATTTGGTCCATTGGTTGAACTACAGTACACAGGACTTTTGTGTTGGCCACTTTTCCCTTCAATACATTACATTTTTAATTTAGGTTGTCTCTGTTGTATACTCATTTTTGAAGATCTGTAATAGAAGAAAAACCATGAAGGACGCAAATACTTTTTTCATAGCAATATGTCCTTCCTCCCTGACCCCTCATCCTCATTTCATACTTGATTTACTTGAATTGTACACACACTGAAAACATTGAAACGTTGACTTCAATTAAATGTATTATGTCATCAGATTACACATAATTGTATTAGGTCATTTGCAAGCAATAATATTAAGTTGATATTGCTTTCAACTAACCTTACGCAGCGTTGTGTAATCTGTTGACATAATACATTTAATCAGTCAACTTTTAAATGATTTCAGTGCAGTACTTGGTGATCTGGTGGCAGCACAGGCTTTGTCGGTTTTAGCTTACGTAGCAAACCACTAGAAGAGATGACATTGGAGGAAAGTCTCTGAAGGAAAAAGATGCTGATACGGACTGAACTGGTGCACAATCAGTACATTTACACTGGTCTCCGGGGCTCCAGTTTAATCAACACAATGATTCCGAGTTAGAAGAGGAGTGGGACTCTGCCTCGCT